CTTTTTCAAGCTAAAGGTTGCATCTGACATTGAGCGATATGCCGGAGTCTACTTCATCAATAAAGTAAGGACAATTGCTAAAATTTGATTTAATTTATATATAAACTGAGTTGACATATTAAATTAATTAAATGCAATTAATATAATTATTCTCATGTATTTAATTAAAAAAACTATTATTGCCACAATTTCATTGATGGGCATTTTCCAGAAAGCTGGGACTCATGCACATCCAAGAATTCTGATTCTGCTTTTCATATTAAGAAAAGAGAAGTCTACATTCAGCCTGAATCAGTTTTTCTTTGTTGACAGAGTAGGATGAATAAGGAATTCTCTGGTGGAAATAAAAATTAAAAGTATTCTGTAATTTTCAGAAATCAGCACTGATTTAGTGTGAACCAAATTCAATCACTCCTTAGGCCCGCAGCCATAGCTTCTCTGCACAATTGTCAAATGTGGACTGCTTTATTCTTTTTGTATCCATAGAAACCTAAAATACTATATGGTACAAACTATATTTATTTATTTATTTATTTATTTATGAGACTTATATACTGCTTTAAGTGCAAGCACTCTCTAAACGGTGTACACCAGTAAGCAATGTATATATATATTTTACATTGCCCCCAACAATCTGGAGGAGGGTTGAAAATATACTCCACCACTTCTATGATAACCTCCAATGAGGACTATGGGTCAAATTGGTAGGAAATTCTAGATACTTTTCTGATGCATCTGGAGCACACAACTATGCTGTGCTAAGTGAAAATAATTGTTAGTATACTCATTAAATGTTATATTGCAAATGGCCTTAAATAGAATTTAAAAAGTGGCCACAGAGAGAACATTGGACAGGATAATGTTTACTATATTTTCACTATATCAGCACTCTGAAGAGTCAGTATTCATAGGGAGCTGTGTTATGGCAGAACTATTTATAATTTAACTGAGTTTTACCTACTTTATCAGTAATGACTCTCCAAGATCTTGAGAGATTTATTTTCACCACCTGTTATTTATTCTTTTTAATTGAAGACTCCAGGGATTGAATGTAGCCTTATGTGCATCCAGTGCATTGCTATCTGTCACTGATGTATGGCTCCTCTCCTAATAGACTCAATCCTTCTTAAGCCTAATGAAATCAGTGGGTTAAAGAACACAAGAGTATTGGCATTATCTTTCTCTATATAGTTGCAATGATATGTGTGGAATTGTCTTTTCAACCGAGAATAAACAAAACATAGCTTCTAAAACTTGGAAATTATACAATCGTTATTAGAGGATAGGAGACAATATAGAGTAAAACATGTAGTACACAAAGAAAACAAATTCATAGACAGAATTCAAAAGAACATTAAGATTTTTAACTGATACATTACTAAAAGGATGTATTCCTTTACTCTTTATTTAGTTGCTTATTATAAAAATATATTAAGTATACAACTACATTATTTTTCTCCTGTTCCTTTCTGTTGAAAATATATATCCCCATTGAGTGATAAAACAGGAAATAAATACTTTTTATACTGTAGCTAGATTAATGGAGAATAATGTGTATTGTTTCAGCCATCTGAATGGAAAGGTATAGATATAACTGTGTGAAGAAGAGCTGTACCGACAGTTATTTTAAAAATTGAGTGATTACATATAAACAGAGAGCTTCTAGTCCCATATTAATGTAGGTGTGTGGGTGTATATGTGTATATATACACACACAAACACATGTACACACATATATACATACACTTTTATCTTCCTCACATTTACTTAAAAGTAAGGACATTGAGCAGTAGCTTCAGATACAGATAGTCCTTGAGTTATGCACATTCAATCGGTGACATTACAATGTTATGGCAGCACTGAACAAAGGGGGACACCATTGGTCCCCAAAGTTACAGCAGTTGCAGCACTTCTGCAGTTAATGTGATCAAAATTTGGCACCTGGCAGCTTGCCAGCACTTATGACTGGAGGGGTGCTTCAATTCCCCCCCCACACCTACCTGCCCCCATCTATCCCTTTTGACTCCCTGCTATCCATGCCACATGCTGCCTAGTTAACTTGGCTGTCTGCTTGCTTCCACTGCTGACCATGCACGCCCAGCCGGGCTCTTCACAAAACAGCTGCTGGCTGAATGAGACTTTCTTTCCCAGGTCACACACTGCAGTTTCCTTGCAAGACCTGGAGAAAATGCACTCATGGCAGCAGCTGCCTCATGAAGGGCCAGGGTACACCTGCTTCATCAGTAGCAGCAGAAAGAAATTGGAAAAGATCAGCTGGGGCTGTGGAGTGACAGGGGCCTTGGAGCACAGAGCAACTGTGGGTGGACTGGGCTGAGGTGGCTCAGAATGACTGTAGCTTGTACTACACTGTTGCTACTGGGGCTTCCCAGGGCACAGCAGCTTTGCATTGTACTGTTGGGATGACTGAGGCTTCCAGGGGCAGCTGCAGCTTTGTACTGTGCTGCAGATCGGGGGCTTTTTGCTGCCCCAGAGCTGCAGCACACCAAGAAACAGTTCAGTGCAGAGTGGCAAACAGCCCTGGAGATGTTTGGTTCTGGGGTTTTTTTGCTGCCCTGAAAGGCAGGATGCAGGACAGCTAAAAGGGCCACACCTAGAATGGCTTAGATTGTGGTGGATCAACCATGGAATTCAGTTAACAATAGCAATGCTGTCAGTAAGTGATCTGGTCACTCATTGTGGTCACATTGCTTAGCAATGAAACTTCTGATACCATTTGTCATAAATCAAGGATTACCTGTATTATTAATTTGGTCATTCCTACATCACCCCCCCCCCATGCATAGCATTCTGAATCTTGCTGGTGCTTGTTATGATCAAGGAAGAATTTTCCCAGAAGGGATTATTGGGAATTTGGAAAATGAATATGCATTTAATGTTGGATTGAAGGGGGGCATCATTTCAGACGAATTTAACATTCAAATGCAAGAAAGAGAGAAGGGAAGGAACTGACAGTATTTTAAGAGTAGCCATTGTGTTCAGACAACAATTCAAATAGCTATAAAATGTTATCAGTGCAGGCCAGATACTTGTCTTTTCCTTTGTTTAGTGAAGGGATTGCTGCTTCTGCCAATGGTTTCCTGGCAATTGGCTTTTGGCACAGACTTTTCCAAAGACATAGCTCCTTGATTGCTAACTTAAAGCTTGCTTTACAGAGCTTGCTTATCATGTACAGTTGCCTGCTCCATAGTTTCAACCATAACAAGAGTTGTGGCAAGATGCTGTCTTTGTGGGATTAACAACTGCCCAGGCAGAGCTCATGTTTCTTTTAGGAGGTTGCTTGTTTGTGTAAACTAGTCTGTAATCCATATACAGTATGCTAACAAAATATAATAAAATAAGGTTGCAAAAAACCAAAAACAACTCTATTAGAAAAGTCTAGGAATGAAGCTAAACTTGGCAGGCAAATTAAAAAGCCAAAAAAAAAAAAAAAAGGAAATATTTCTTCTATATATGTGACTGTATTTTTAAATATAAAATATAATTTATATGGCTTTTCCTTTAATAGATAAAGAGCAAACCCACCATAATCATTACAATGATAATTTTTCATAAACAGTATTAAAATGCATAAAATAACACATTACTTCCAAGCTAGCAAACCTGATGTACCTATATGGTAATTATAGTACATGTGTAACAGTACCTGAAAGATGTTAAAATCCAGACTATTAGCATCTATTAAATACATGGGCAATAAAAGAAATATTCTTATTTATTCCATGTCTTTAAAAATAGTTTTTGTTTGCATTTTAAGGGCTTAAGTTAAAGAAAAAAAATATCCTAGTAGTCTTAATTTACAAGTAGGTTATATAGTCCTGAAATTATATGTGAAAAACAAAGAAAAAAAACATTTGCATGAGAAGCCAAGTAGAAGTGTTTACTGAAATTAGACAAAAAGACTATTAGTCAAGATCATTTTCCTGTGTTTCTTTTCTCTGATGCAAGATACCCTTTTAAGCATTTCCATTTTTGAATGGAACCAAGAACCAATTTAGTATAGTGGTTAGGGGCGCCAGGAGATAGTGTGTTCCAGTTCTGCCTTGGGCACAAAGCAGCTAGGTGACTTTGACCCAGTCACTTTCAACCCTAGAAAAAAAAGAGCTGGCAAAGCACTTCTGAAATTGCCAAGAAAACTGCAAGAGCCTGTGTAGTCACCAGTAGTAAGACTGACTCAAAGTCACCTGCCCCCAAACCCACTCTAAACTAGAAGTTGAAATTGTACATTAATTGTAAACTAAAAACTGAACTTATTGTTAAGTTCCCTTACATGGCTAGACCATCTTAAGTTTTCCTTGTATAGGTTAGTCATATCCATTCTTGAATTATAAATTAAAAATTCTCTATAAATGTCTTTACACTATTACTTATTTGCAATTTGTGCATGGCTTTTAGAGCATGCAAATATACTCATTTTTATATTGGTACAGAACTTATTCCATGCAAAAATGTGAGGATGTAGCCAAATTAGATCTATGTAATTTTTATAAGAGATACAGATAACAGCATTTTCTTTCAGGAATATGACATGGCTACTAAAGTTTATAGCTCAAACGTCTGGCTTATGAAAGGTATCTGTGGAAGTGGCTATTTATGAGCACCAATTCCTATATGGCCTCATTTACTACTCAAATATATAGCATCCTTAATGCTGCTTTTTAAAAATATTTTGAAACAGATATTTCCCCCATTGGTCACAAAAGTAGGATGATGTTTCCTGAAAGTAATGTAATAATTAGAATGTTCTTCCATTTGTACTCATTGGAAAACTTGAAAACATTTCCATGATCGAAAAATATGAGAATTAAACTGATGACAGTTTTATAAAAAATGCCATTTTTCTAGGTTAAAAAAATGGCCAACCTAGAAAAGTTAAATATGTCACAATGAATGGCTTAAAGACATTTTTCCTTATGTGTAAATAGCAGTTTCTTATCTTTTCTCATGTTAAATATATATTTATAATGTCTATGTAACTACATTGTTTTGGGACTTAGTTCAGTCTTGTGGAAGCATATAGAAACTTAGACATGAATAGTAATAAAACTACTCAATGGTTAAATTTGTTTGGCAATGTACTCTAAATTTTCTAAGACAGAAAAATCTGATGTTCAAACAAATACATTTAAACACTTGGCATCACAAAAATATGATGATGGTCTTTGCCAATAAATCACTTTATCTGTTTATACACAAATTCTGTAAACATCTGTTTACCTAAAAATTCATTATAAACTTTTAATTGTTCATTTTGGCCAAGAGGTTTTATGCTTCCATTCTAGCATATCAGTTGTCATAAACTAAATGTAATAATTACAAAATAAATGTAGTAATAAAACCCTACATTTCAGATTTGGTAAGCAATAAAACAAATACATGTGTCAAGTTCTTTTCTTGATTGCACATTTTATATTGGAAGCTAAAATGTCACAAAACATGGAAATAAATGTCTATCATTATTGTTGTTATTATTATTATTTAGTAATTTACCATCAAACTCTAATACATCAAGAAGGTAGCAATTCCAAGCCAAGAAAGCCTTCACTTTCAAAAAAGTTGATGAAAGTTTTCTGAATACTTTACTGTTATATAAAGTTATACATCCATGCCAAACTATTCAACATCATATAGCAACAGTCTTTTAGTAGTGGCCAGGATGTTACCATCAGTTAATTGAGGATGGAACTATGTAATGTAAGTAAAAATTCCAAGCTGGAAGAATTAACATAAATATTTGTGTTTATAGTATGAAGAAGTTGCAGTTTTTGAAGCTGGGAAGAAAGAAGGAGTGAGAGTATTTTCCATTTTAGAAATGCTGAGGCACAAAACACAGTTGCTTCTAGAATTTTCATACATGAAATCCTTTGTCCTGTATGTGCATCATGTGTAACCGTAAAGTCTGTAAACTGCTCACTATTCGTCTCTGATGTCCAATAAGAGCAACTCCAATTCTTCTAATGTCACTGCAAGATAAAAGTAATGTTGGGAAATATTGGTTGAAGTACAGAAAATACAAAGACAAATTGTTCAAAGCTGTTTTTAAACCTGAAATATTCAAACAATTCCATGTTGTTCTTCAGCCTGAAAACTATTAGAAAATGGAAATCATAGATGTTGAGTAACTGGATTTGAAATGTAATAGAAGTTTGCATTTTAGACTATGGTTAGACTAAAATGCAAATTTTCATTATATTTCAAATCCAGTTACTATTTTATTTTTATGAGGAATGAATATTTGTTGACTTAACTCATCCCTGCCATTTTGTGATGTGTCCTTGCACTTTCTAAAATTCCAATCTTACCCACTGTTCTATAAAAGTTAGGAACCCCAGTAAATAATGTACTTACTCAATACTCATTCTTGAAACAAGATCCATAGATGTGTACCCTGCTGCCATGAAATTAGTTTTGTATTGGCCCATTTTTATTGAGTCCAGCCAATCATTGACTGATACAAAGAAGGGATATTCTGGAATTTCGCCAGGTGAATCTGGCATTCTGTGAAAAGAATAATATATTATTGATTTAGTTTTATGATACCTTCTTAGTACATTAGGCTGAAAATTAAACATTACACAAGCTATGAACTCTTGATATCTTTTCCTCTGGAGATTCTCAATCATCCAGATCATAGTTGTCTCAAATGAGCTAAAGATGAGACTTCAACATTTGGTTGCTACTATGTTTGGCCTTGGGTCCTGGCTAGAGAAAGTGGACAACTATTTAATGCAGATATAAGGCTATAGAATAGTTAATAAGGGACCTCTGACCCAATATTGGGGTGTATGTACACACACACAAAAGCATTAAAGCTTTTGTGATTCTTAATTTACACACACACACATACTCAGTAGAAGGAATTTCCTTATGAAGTCTTCCCTATTGAATGATTGTGAGAAGTTACAAGAACTACAGACTGCTAGACATATGAGTATATCATAAAACCAGACATGAATACATAATAAAAGACATTTATACATGTGCCTTGGCCATTTCATAACTAAAATAAGTGCAGGAAGATAACTGATCAGTCTTTTTCTTTAAACTTGAATGAGAACTAATTTTAAAAAATGCAGGGTAATTATTTTTTTTTAACACAATTGGAATTTGTTGGTATATACTAAGTGACAAATCATTCCACATTACTGTTCTTTATAAGCATGTGATTCCTGGAGCAATGGAAGTTTATCATATGGAAAACATCCGAACTGGCCTTATGCATTAAGTATAGGGTATAACTGAAGGAAAAAATTAAGAATATCTGACATGATAGAGGAAACAAAAAGGAATGATGATTAAAAAATGACTGGTTTAATACAAATCAAAATCATCATATATAATGCAATTAACATGCCTATTTAAAGGGTGACAATCATGCACGAACATACAAGAAGCATACTGAAATGGTTCTTACATTAGTACATCCTCGACTAAAGTATGAAGAGAGCTGGGGTTTCGTATCAATTTGTCTAAGAAGCTGACAATGTCGATGAACTTTGGCCGATGGCTTCTTTCCTTTTGCCAGCAATGAAGCATTAGTTGATGGAGGGCAGCTGGACAGCCCATGGGAGCTGGAAGCCTATATCCTTCTTCGATGGACAGAATGACCTATGCAAAAAATGGGGGAAGAGATTTATTTATTTAATTATTTATCAAACTTGTATGCTGCCCATCTCGCCAAAGGCAGCTTAGGGACACTGAATAAAATGCGCTCTAAAATATTAAAACAATAAAGGATCTTAAATTTAAAATCCAGTTAAAATAAAACCAAGCAGGATAGAGAGGGAGAGAGCAAAGTGCACCCAGTGAGGAGATGGGGTGTTTTCTACCCCATTATTCCCCTTCAAAGTGCCATACCCCCATTAGGACTCCAGATTAGTTAGCACAGCCATATCTTCAAGGACTCTTGGAAGCATTCCAAATGGGAGCAGATGCCAGCGGGTGGAGCCATAGTAGAAAAGGCTCTTCTGGATCCCACTAGGTCACAGGTCAGTAACCTGTGGCTCCTGAGCCTCATGCAGCTCTTTGAGCCTTCCTTTGCGGCTCCCAGCCTCTGCCATTTGCAGAGAGAGACAGAGAGACAGAGACAGAGACAGAGCTTCTCTCTCTCTCTCTCTCTCCCTCCCTCTTCCTCTCTCTCTCTCGCTCTCTCTCTCTCCCTCTTCCTCTCTCTCTCTCTCTCTCTCTCTCTCTCTGTGTGTGTAAAAAAGAGAGTAGCCTCACCCTGTTCCGATGAGCTGACAAGCTTATTGGGCAGGGCTCCTCCCTTTGCTGCATCTCTGCAGGAAGCAGGAAGCAGGAAGGGCAGAAGAGAGCTAGCTAGCCCAGCTATGCTGTCTCAGGAATTCTGGGAGTTGAAGTCCATGAGTCATAAAAGAGCCGAGGTTGTCTGCCCTTGAGCTAGCCCAATAAGAGAAAAAGCCAGCTTGCCAGTTGAGCAGAAGATCGGAGAGACGAAGAGAGAGGGGGGAAGAGAGAATGAGAGGGAGAGAAAGAGAGAAAGAGGGAGAGAGAGAGAGAGAGAGAGAGAGAGGAAAGAGAGAGAGGGGGGAGGGAGAGGAAAGAGGGAGAGGAAAGACAGAGAAAGAGAGGGGGGAGAAAAGAGAGATAGAGAGAAAGAGAAAGAGGAAAGAAAAAAAGAGAAAGAGAGAAAGAGAGAGAGGAAAGAGAGAAAGAGAAAGGGACAGAGAGAAAGAAAGAGAAAGAGAGGGAGAGAGAGGGAGGGAGAGAGAGGGGGAGAGGAGAGAGAGAGAGAGAAAGAGAGAGAGAGAGACACACGGAGGGAGAGACAGAGAAAGACAAAGAGAGAAACTCTTTTGACATCTAAAATGAAGGTAACACTGCATGTATCCTTTTTATCTTTATTATATATTATATAAACTATTCCTAGTTTCCCCCTAACTATAACCCTATGAAGTAATTCAGCCAGCTTTTCTGCCTTATTTTTGTTAAACCAGAACAAAGTACACCAGAGTTTTTGACAAGGGTTCTCAAACTGTAGGTCACCTATGGCTTAATAATATTTTTAAACTTGATCGAGCTTGCACAGACGAGAGTTTAGTCAAAATTCTGAGATTTGCTTTTTTTTGCAATTGATACTTTGTCATGGCAGAATATTGGAGAAACTTTGCGATGAATAGATTAAATTTAATTATTAGAAATAAGTGGTATATTTCTTTCTTGCCCTCAATTTTATTTATGGTGTGAGAATCACACAAATTCATTTATCATTTAGGGGTACTACGATGTTTGAGAACCATTGGCTTATGGCTAGGCACAAAAAGGAAACTCTGCTGATGTATATTATATGCCAGTGGTAGTGAACCTAGGGCATGGGTGCCAGAGGTGGCACTCAGAGCCCTATCTGGGGGCACATGTGCCATTGCCCCAGCCCCACCTCCCCTGCGGCCTCCTCACCAGCAGCTACCCTGGAAGAGAGTCGGCCTGCACGGAATAGCGCAGCCAAGGACATCGCACTGGGACAAGACTCTGCCCTTGCATCCCATCGTGTGTAGTTGATTCTGCGGGGCATGAGCAGAGGGCGTAGCTGCCATGGCACTGCTGGGTCGCCTGGGTGATCTGCGGCAGGCCATGGAGGCAGTGGATGGCCCTGCAGGCAGGCGGGGGTAGAGCGGGGCGGGCTGGGGGCAGGGTGGGCTGGGGGTGGGTGGGGCAGGGATGGAGAGGGTGGGGTGGGGAGCAGAGTAGGGGTGGGTAGGAGGGCGGGGCTGGTTTTTGGGCACTCGGTCTCTAAAAGATTTGCCATCACTGTTATATGCTATGATTAGTCCTTGGGTTAGGACTAGTCACCTTTCAAAGTTGCAATGGTGCTGAACAACTGGTACTTATGATGAGTCCTTGTAGTTCTGGTCATTGCAACATCCCAGGTCAGGTGATGTTTTTCAATGTTCCCACAAGCACATTTAATTGGGAAGCCAATAGGAAGTTGAAAGTTTTAGTTGCATGAGTTGCACTTGCTTATCAGTGGCAAGTGCAAGTGAGGAACAGCAGTTGTTAAGTGATGCAGTCTCATGATATCATGTCTTACAATCCCCACATGCTAAATAATCATACCAAAAGAGATTGCAGTAGAAATGAACAATGAACAAGAGTTTTGCTTCTATCCTGAAACTTTTGCTTCAATTATGTTTCTCCCCAGGTATTAATCTTTGATGTCAAAGCTAAGAATACTAAATAATTTGACTTTAGCAATAGAATTTCAATGGTACTTGTTCTATGGCGATTTAAACTATATTAGTTGCAGCTAGTAGTGATCAATGGGGAATCAGTTTTTATTTTCCACTTTCTAACAGTATGTGGTAGTAACAGTGATTCCTTTGCATGTTTATTCAGAAGCCAAGTCTTACTATATTCAGTAGGACTTATTACTAGTGTGCTCCTGGATAGTTGTAGTTTTTTTGTTTTCTTTTCAATAAACAATGGAATAAATGCATCCTGAAAAAATAATAACTGTAATAACTAGTTAAAACTTACATCCTGATTAGACATCTCCCAATATGGTCTTTCTCCATATGACATTACTTCCCACATGACAATTCCATAACTCCATGAATCGCTTGCAGAAGAAAATTTCCTGTAGGCTATAGCTTCAGGAGCAGTCCATCTTATTGGTATTTTTCCACCCTGAAAATATATATTGAAAAATTCTCAGTATTTAAATCTAACAAAAATACTCTCCAGTGAGTAATCCTACAAACATATTAAAATAAATGCAATTCATAACTGCTGACAGAAACAGAAATATTCTGTTATAATTCATGTATTAACAGAACATTACTTATCTAGTACTGTATCATAACTGAAAACTAAATGCATTTTAGTTCTTTAAGGCACTTAATATTATGTTAACCATATTCAGATTGAATAGGTGGCAAATTATTGTATTTCACTTTGATCATGAATTAAAGTGCCATCATTATTGTTTTCTTTGAAAGTTTATATTCAAAGTATGATGCAAAGTAAATCCTTCTGAATTAAAGTTCATCTATTTATCTAAAATGTATTGTGGCTCATCTGTATTTCGTAGTTATTACTTTCAAAACACATTTGTCTTTTACTTCTGCAAACATTCTAAACTGTGCATATTAGTTAAATTCAAGTCTAAACTATTTCTGCTTATAAATCATGTTTACTAAATGAGGATTGTAAATGTTACCAACATAGTATAATACACTAGCTTTCATGTAATTAGTTGTAAAATCTGCCAATTGTACATTACATTAATTATTTTGTTTAACAGTAATAAAAATAGCATTTTTGTTATCTTAAATATTAATGTATTTATCATAGAATAAGTTTTGGATCCAAATCCAGATAGTTATCAAAATGCACCCTGGTCTATTAAGCTTTGTAGTGTAATATATTTGCTGGTCATAATTCTGTTAAGTAAATGAATATTCTATGATTTTTCTCTTTCAATTCATTTTTAAAATATTTTTGAATTTATTCCATTAATCTTCTTCCAGTTTAGCAGAACAAAAATTGGCTAGTCATATGGTCTCACAAGAACATGGCACAGTTTAAATATCTATGATCACATATAACAGAAAATAGCTAAAATTGAGAAAATAATTATTATGGATACAAGCTAAATAAAAATACAATCTTTATTATTATTACTGCATAGCCAACAATACCTAAAGTTGCATTAGATCTTAGTTCTTCTGTCTTTTGTTTCTATATGCCTTTTTTCCATACCTGAATTTTCCCATTTCTCAAAACCTAAATTCTAATTCATATAAGTCTTTACTTTTTAACTAGAAGCATTGTATCAGTATCCTTGTTTCTAAATCATTTCTGTTTGATATCTTTATCAATTAAATAAAAAACCTGAAATGAGGGAGATCAGGAGACTCTAAAATAGAGAAAACTAATAGTATAGATGTATTTAATTGCTTGCAAAGTTCTAAAATCTGCATACTAACACCAACAATATAATAACCAAATAATGGAGCATTGAATGGTATATTTTTTAATATTCTTTTGTGAAGGCTTCTGTTTGAGGCATAGATTTTCCCCACTGCCAGTTTTAGTTTAGTTTAGTTTAATTTTCTAACCTAGTTTTGGGGGTAAGCTTAAACTCAAAATCCTAATAAACAATTTATTTTTTCTTTCTTTTTTATTGCATTTCTCTAAATTGTTTTCTGGTTTATTGAATACTAAATAGAGTAAAACAATAGAAATGAAAATTACAAACATTCATTTAGAGAATTCCATAAAGATACATCTCTTCTGTATATGGCACATCTACAGCACTGTAGTGTAGTGTAATCTCCTGTTATACACATAATGGCTAAAATTGCATTTTTAATATTTCATAGATGATGGTTCCTTTTGTAAATCCATAAGATAAACAGGAATGGAAAATTTCATTACTCAATTACTTTTTGTAAAGTATACTTTTATGCAAAAAAAATCTGTTACCCTTTTTATACATACATATACTTAGTAAAACATGAAACTAAGCAATGTCTATTCATGAATAATAGAGGGATGTATTTGCTTCTGCAGAGCTTAAATAATATTTATAGTGTTTGATGAAACTGGTAAAAAAACTTCAGCCCTAGTATGCTTCTCTTTCTGATAACAATGCTATAAATAAAATTATATTTATTAAAATTTATTGTTTACAAGTGCTCTATCACCAAATTAAAATAAATATGCATTTTTACCAATACGAAACTTATATATCAGATCATCCAAAATGGTCACTTTACTCCTAGACTGATTATCTAAGGCATATTTTAACATGTTGCAGCTGAACATAATTTCTTAAATTTATAATGAGTTTTGGGAAATGTAAATTTCAGTTTTCATACAAAAGGCATAACTAGAATTCACAGTTGCCCAGTTTCTAGTCCAGTACTTTAACCAGTACATCAAAATGACTCTTATTTCTCCTTCTGGTTTGCCCAAAACTAAAATAGCAGTTTCCTTGGGTTTGAATAATATATCAAAGTTTGGGTTCTGGTTAACAAGTCAACTGGCAAAAGACAATTGTAAATCTTGGTATGTACACACACACAGAGATACAAAGACACAATCTCATTAACTCTTTCTTTTCCTTAGTATATTAGGCAAACACAGAGACAAAGCACTATAAATTGTAGCTTTTCCTAAGTTGGACAGATGATACCTGTTGAGTCCTCAGCTTAATGGCAATAAATCACAGAGCATCTCGTAGTGTCAAGAAGCCTTTATTGTTGTTTCTTCAACTCCATTTCAGCTCTGAGGCACGCAGGTCTCTCTGCCTCTCTTAAGAACACTTCCCCGGACCAAATGGCAACATTTGGCGCGCTCCGCTCCTCACGCATGTGCGCGAAGCCGGCGCCAGCCAGTCTGGTCCCGGGCAGCTTGCAACTGCCCGGGACCGGTGCAACGTCCCGAGCCTGCCTTTGCAGGCTCAGGACACAACACCCCTTCCCACCCGGCTAAGACTAATAAACTATATCAGTGTTTCCCAAACTTGACAATTTTAAGGCATGAGGACTTCAACTCCCAGAATTCCACAGCCAGCAACGCTGGCTGTGGAATTCTGGGAGTTGAAGTCCACATGCCTTAAAATTGTCAAGTTTGGGAAACACTGAACTATATGAATAATTACATGCGACCTCAACACGAGCGTGGTGTGCCAACCCATGCTCCAATGGTACCGGGCTATTATTCTGGGGATTAATACCCAATGCCCGTATTTCCATTGTTCCCAACAACAGACACCCTCTCACTGTTTCTGCTTTGCCAGCAGAGTTACAAAGTCTTCAAGGTACTTAGGAGATCTCTTAACTCTCTGTGATCTCCTTAGATCCTGATAATCCCCAATTTCATTTTGCCCAGAGGATGACATGAAGTTGCCCCCTTTTTCGAACCCTGGTGGTCCCCATGGACCGTGCCCTGATGCCTGGTCTGCTTGCTTGCCCACCGGGCTCGTCAGACCAGGACTTTGTTCTCCCAATAACCTGGTTGACCTGCCTAGTTGCAGGCTCTCTGGCCCCTGCCACTGTTAGGCAACTCTGTAGTGCCTCCCAGGCCCACACTGGACCTATCAAGGGGCTGCATTCCTTCGCTCCCCAGTCCCGTAACGGGACTGTCTAGGGCTTCAATATTTCCCCAAAACTCAGTTGCCTCCCCATCTGTGCCGGAGGTGTCAGAATTGGGATGTGTCTCTCCAGCCACCTCCCTGTGTGAATACTTCCTTCTGGAAACAGTAGCAGTACTGGGCCAACTAGACTGGTTGTGTGCCAGCTCTCTTGCAATGTTTGAGTTATTAGGATGCTCCCGGTTATTCTCCCTGACTGGAGTGCTGAATGGTATTGGTGAAGGATGAGTATGCCCCCTGGGTGACTCCCTGGCTGGAGTAGGCACTGGTGCCTGTGTGTTTCCTAGTTCCCATGGATTCCTGTTTGGAACACTTGCGGAATCCTGGAATAGGCCATCTGCGGCCTCTCTGTTGGGGCCCGGCTGCTGCCAACACCCATCCCTTTGCCCATAGAGGTCCCCCTCCCCCCCTGGAAAAGGCCCAGGAGTTTCTGAGGTTGAGTACAGTCTTGTACACAGCTGGTCAATATGCCGCTGAAGGACACGACCATCATCCAACGAGACCTCGTATGACAAGGGACTGGTAACCTTGCATACTACAGCAGGAACCCACAAGTGACCTGGCCCGTAATTACGGGTCCATACCGGGGCACCCACTTGTAGATACCTTGGTGCCCTGGGTTGTGTAGCCTTAGGAGGCAGTCTGTCCGGGTGCAACCGGTCAAGGTTAGTAGTCAGTTTGCGCCTCCAGCGAAGTTCAGCTGGGCTTTTCCCAGTAGAAGTTGAAGGTGTGGTGCGATACGCAAGAAGAAAGTCTGCCAACCTGTGGTGCCAGTCTCCATAGGTCAGTTTCTTTAAAGCATCCTTGGTGATGCGGACCATCCATTCAGCCATACCGTTGGTGGAAGGGTGGAATGGTGCAGAGGTGGCATGACGAATCATGTTGGCTGTAAGAAAGCTTGGAATTCGGAAGAGGTGAATTGAGGGCCATTGTTAGACACCAACACATCCGGAAGCCCATGTGCAGCAAAAATCCCCCTCAGTACTTGAATGGTCTTGGCAGTGGTGGTTGAAGAGACAGGTACAACCTCAAGCCATTTTGAATAGCTATCAACCAGGACCAAGAAGAATTGACCCTGAAAGGGCCCAGCGTAATCGATGTGCACCCTAGACCAAGGTGACTGTGTTTCCTCCCATCTATGCACAGGAGCCTGGGGCATTTCTGGGCATGAGCGCTGACAAAGATGGCATGCGTGCACCTTAGCCTCAGTTTCCTTGTCTAACCCAGGCCACCACAAATGGCTGCGCGCAAGCGCCTTCATTCTTACAATGCCAGGATGGCCCTCATGAAGGGAACCTAAGACTCTAGACCTCATTGAGGTAGGAATAACAACTCTGCTGCCCCACAGCAGGCAACCCTGAAAAGTTGATAACTCATGTTTCTTAAGCCAGAAACTCTGAAACTCAGTACCTGGACAACTCTCTGGCCATCCAGACAAAACCCAGGATAAGACACAAGGGAGTGTGAGATCTGTGGCTGATTCAGCAGCCACATCCCTGGCATTTAAAGGTGAGTCAGGCAATGCCTG